GTGATTTCTCACTTTCTCTCTCTCTCTCTGTCTCTCTCTTGAAAAAAAAAGAATAAAAAATTTATGACAGTCTGCTTTTAAGTGTAATGTGAGAACTTTACAATAATCTTTCATTTTTCTCACCCCCAGGTTAGTGCTATTTGTCATTCACTTTCTTAGTACATGTGTTAAAATCCTTATAATATGGCGTTATTTTTATATTATTTGTTATTTTAAATAGATCTGCCTTAAAAGGAGTTGTAAGAAAAAAAGTCATGTTTACCCACAATTCACTCTCTTGTAGATCCAGATGTCTCCTTGGTGTATTTTTCTTCTTCCTGAAGAGATTTCTTGTAGAGCAAGTCTGCTGATGATGGATTCTTTCACCTTTTCATGCTGAAAAATAATTTTTAACTCAACCTAATATTTTAAAGATACTTCAGTTTTTTTGTTCTTCAGATTCCTTGGGACTATGTGTTTAACAGAATTTTGAAGATTTTTCCAACCAGTTTTTCAAATGTTTCCTTTCCATTTTACGGTTTCCATTATGTGTCTGTTTAGCCCCTTATCACAACTCACTGATACTCTTCTTTTATTTTGTTTCCAACTTTCATTCTTTCTTTCATTTTGGATAGTTCTGTTGCTGAATCTCTTAGTTTACTAATATTTTCTATAGTTTCTATGTCATTTGATATATCTTAAACAAACAAACAAAAAACCCCCAAAACCTCATACTGTACTCTGCAACTCTTAAGATCAATTCAAATAATTTTTATACCTTCCATGTCTCTGTTTTCCATGCTTAACTATAATTAAGTGAATACCTTATAAATTGTGAATACCTTTGGGTGCTAAATATTTTTGTGTTCTATGGATATTCTTGAATGTTTTTCTGAGGTACACTGATTTGGAAACTTGTTCTTTCAAAACTTGATTTTTTAAGCTTCGTTATGGAGGACAGATGGACTTTTTCTGGAGGGCTCGGTTTTACCCTGTTGAAGCTATAGCCTTCTGAGTATGTAATGCCCTGGGGATGCACCCACCCACCAGGCTGTTGGAACCCCTGTAAGTTTCCAGCCCTGTTCAAGCTCTGTGGATTCTTCCCTTTGATCCTTTAAGTGTTTTTTACTGGACGCTGGTTGGTTTCTTCCCATGCATATGCTGATCATTACTTGGCTGAAGACAAAAAGCCCGGATTCTCTTCTCTGTGCAGGCTTTTCTTCATCCTCTGTCCTGTGTTCTCTGGCCACCTTGGCATCCATGGACTCCCAGGCTCATCTGCTCAGACACAGGGTTCGACCTGGGTTCTCCTTCCCGTTACTTTAACCCACAAGCTTTTTTTTCTTTATAAAAAGATGGATTTAGCTATTCTGATTCCCACATCTTTCGGTAGAAATTTTACAATAGCTTTTTTTTTTTTTTTAGTTTATTTCGTCCATGGTGCGGGGGTAGGGTGGAGGGGACACTCCTAACAGGGTTCTTATGTCCAACTTATCCCTAGTCTCCATGCAGATCATGGGCACTTGCATGTGCCAGTACCAGTGTACCCAGGGAGGGTCTTTGTGTATAATATGGAGGTGTCAGGACACTAGAATTTTGAAATTATATAGCCAGTCTGTTTTTGTGCATCCCCTAAGTTCATGTGTATGTAAGCTTTTCATCAGGTCTTAAAAATAAAAACAGTGACAAATTCATAACAATAATAAAAATTAAGTTTTTGGGGGCCAGCAGGTGGCATAATGGTTAGGGCACTGGACTCCCACATGGCTGACCATGATTCAAGTCCTGGACTTGGTGCTTGCTCTCTCTTTCTCTCTCTGGTCAAACTAAAAATAACATCAATAATAATTTAATTTAATTAATTATTAAAAATTATTTTTTTTTGTCATAGGGCATGTGCACTGGTGGGAGAGACAGAGACATGAGAGGAAAAGAGAAATCCCCCTCCCAGGGGGAATGGCCACGCACACATCTGCGTCTGGTGTGAGTTTCTTTTTTTTTTAATTTCTTTTTTTATTTTAAATTTAGTTATTTACATTCATTCACTGTATGTCAATACAATATACAAAATGAGATTTCGATACATAATACACTGTATATTGGCTCAATCAAGGATATTACCATACATGTTATCATCAACCAATATAATAATTTTACATTTCTTGTTTCCTATATATTTTACTTTTTTTTCTCCCCTTGATTTCCTACCTCTCACCCTCTACCATTTCCCACCTTCCTCCCATACTGTCTGCTTTCCATGCCTTTTCCCCCCATATTTTATTGATTCACTGAAGATCTAAATTGTCTAAATTGATCTAAATACTTTCAATAGCAAGCACAGCTGATATATACGTATTTATGAACATATGTTTGACTTTAGGCATAAACCTCAGTGAGTAGAGTGAACATACTATAAAGAAGCACCTAGCTGGGGCTATATAGCTTACTGCAGTCATCAAATAGGAAATTTTTTTTTTTTTTTTGGAGAGGTTTTTTGCTATAGGGTATGTGTGCTTGCCAAAAGACAGAAACAGAGACAGAAAGCAGGAAATCACCCCCCAGGGGGGATGGCCACGCCGCAATCCTTTCTCCTCCATTCTCCTCTTGGGATCTTGGGCACGCACGCACCCGCGCCCGGCCTGAGTTTAAGCCACTGGGTCCAGGACTTGAACTGTGTTCGACTACATGGGAGTCCAGTGACACAGCCATTACACTAACTGCTGGTCACTAAATACATAATTTTTTAAATGAATTTTTTAATTTCCAGTAAAACAGTTTTAGCTTTAATATGTCAAAATCAAAAAATGTTAAGAGAAATTTGCTTAACACTTAAAGCCAGAAAAAAGATGAAGATTCAGTTCAAACAATAGGTAGATGAAACTATCAACAGTTCAAGACAAGTCAAAAATCCCTAAATCTGGAAAACAAAGCTTAGAATAAAATCAGTAATGTTTTAGTCAAAAATCACAAAATTCTATTTCATCAGTTCAGTCTGATGTAAATCGCTTTTCTATCGAATTTGCAGTATTACTCTGGTCTGATCTTTCCGTTTAAATTCTGGAACTTTAACTCTGGACTTGTCCCTAACAATAGGCTGGCCCTTTTCTTGTTTGTAATTCTATTATTCTTATTTCTGTGTGTCCAACTTTAGTTTTCCTGGTATAGCACTCCCTTCAGCACTTCTTGAAGAGCTGGTCTGGTGGTAGTAACTTAGGTTTTGTTTATCTGAGAATGTCTTTGTCTCTTTTTTCCCATAGGAAGGATAATCTTGCCAGGTATAGTATTCTTGTTTGAAATTGTTTTTCACTTAACACTTTGAATATATTTTCCCATTCTTTCCTCGCTCACATTGTTTCCAGTGAGAGGTTTGACATTAGCCTGATCCTGATGGGATACCCTTTGAAAGTAACTTGACGTTTCTCACTTGCCAATTTTAGTATCTTATCTCTGTGGTTTTGTTCAATCTGGCTATGATGTGTCTTGGAGAAGATCTTCTTGGGTTGATTCTATGTGGGGTCCTTTGGTCTGGATATTTGAATGCCTTTTTAGGTTTGGAAAATTCTTCCAAGATTTCATGGAATAGATTGTCAGTGCCTTTATTAGTTTTTTCACCATCTGGGATACTGATTATGTGGATGTTTGGGTGTTTAATGGTATCTATTATTAGTATCTGGTATACTCATATATTATTCTCATTTTTGGGGGTCATTTCCTGTCTTTTTAGTGAATTTTTCTAGGTCAGAGGTTTTGTCTTCTATAGCTGAGATTTTTATCTTCTTTCTCCATGATCTAATCTGCCTTTTTCTTTTTTGGGGGGAGAGGTTTTTTGCACTTTTTTTTGGGGGGGAGAGGGTGTGTGCACTCGCCAGAAAGGAAGAGAGAGACGGAGAGACAGAAAGTGATAAATCACTCCCCAGGGGGGATGGCCACGCTGCAATCCCTTCTCCTCCTTTCTTCTCTTGGGATGTTGGGCATGCACGCACACGCGCCCGGCATGAGTTTTAAGCCATTGGGTCTGGGACTCGAACCGCGGTCAACTACATGGGAGTCCAGCACGTAGCCATTATGCTAACTGCTGGTCCTATAATCTGTTTTTAATAGTTTCAATGGAGGTTCTATTTCCTGTATTACAGCTTTCATCTCTAACAATTCTGTTTGATCCTCTTTTATGGTGTGTATTTCCTCTTTCCGATCATGCAAGAACTATCTCACTCCCTGGAACTCATTATCTCTTTTCTCTTGCATTTTCTGGACTTCCTTGTCTCTGTTCTCTTGCATCTCTGTTAGCTTTGTCACTATGAATATTTTAAATTGTTTATCTGACATTTCCACCAGTTCGCTTGTTATGTCTGTAGAGGATGAGAGGCTATTCTTTTCCCTTAGGGGACAGATATTTTCTTTTCTTTGCATATTTCTTGTGCCTTTGTGGCAGGTTCTGTTCATCTAATGGATTATACATTATTTTCTAGTTTTTGGAGTTAAATCTAAGCATTCAGAGGCATACAGGAGGAGGTGATCTGCAATCTCTAAGCAGTACCATTTTTCTTCCATTGTGCAACAGATTCCATGGAAATTGAGGATTAATCTGACCCTAAAATATTCAGGTATTTAGCTACTGTGCACCTAGACCTTTCTAGAAACACAGTGTGAGGAGGTTGGCTAGAACTGGCGGGCAAGAGGGTGAAGTCTGGGCAGAAGTTCTTCAGTGGTCCTAATCCCTGAAAGGGATTAGGATATAGATGGCTGGTGATTTGCTTGTCCTGGCTAGATCTTGGGGGCAGAAGGGTCAAGTCTAAGCAGAAGGTCTTCAGTGGTCCTAGTTCCTGAAAGGGGCCATTCTCTGGTGTGAGTTTCAAGCAGTCGGATCCAGACCTTGGACCACAGTCAGCCATGTGGGAGTCTACCACCTTAACCACTACACCAGGTGGTAGGTGCTGATGCCCTCAAAATTTAAGTTTATCTTGATTGTCTTCTTTGAAACAAGAAAGATATCTGACAGCCTCTCAAAAAGACTAAATTCCGTGCTTGCTTTAGCAGCACATTCACAAAAATTAGAACAACACAGAGAAGATTAGCATGGCGCCTGTGCAAGGATGATGTGCAAATTCATGAAGTGATTCATATTTTTTAAAAAAAGATTAAAATCCAGGGTACTGGGAGGAAGGTGGCTAGCCTCTTTGGTGTCTTTGTGTACTTGGGACAAGGTGCTGCTTTTGGATGATGTAGTCTCATGGGTGCATAGCTTGGTACGTGCAGCTCAGTTTGGAATTCTGGCTCTCTTGTTTCCAGACTGGGCATCACTGTGCAATAACCAGACTACACATTGCAGGCAAGGTGCCAGTGGCAGGAGGCTGCTTCAACAAATCTACCTCTGGCCCTGCCCTCTGACTGGCCTGTGTTGGCAGGTTGAGGGACTGAGAGGTCAGTAAGACATTTATTGGCTTGAAAAGTATAAAACCTAACTGTGAAATCCTGAGTTCATATGAATATGCTGCAGAGGAATAAGAATAAGCTGTTCATAGTATTTTAGAGCTTGAAAGATTTTGGAAATAAAGTAATTCTTCTCTTTCTGCTCGAAGGAGTAAGTAGCCCAAAGTCCTACCTCTAGATAGGTAGCAGAGTCTGGGGTGGAGCCCAAATGTGACCCTAGCTGTGTTCTCACAGTGACCCAGTCAGTGTGCAGCCATCAGCAATTTCCTTTCTAATATTTGTCACTTCTATAAATTAATTAAAACTTGGGTAGATTTTCTTCCAAAGTGTTGCTTCCACTATAACTCATCTCTAACATACAGGTAAAAGTATAAGTTCTCTAAATCTACTGTTAGGATTTCAAACATGATTTACAGTAGTTGGAAAGATACAATTTTAATTTCCATGGAAATCATGGTTTCTGGCACTAATAATTCCATTACTCTTGCCAAACCAACTGAGATAGTCAAGATAATGCAATCTGTGTTCAAAGATGTCCTAAAAACCTAATGTAACTTCATTATAGTACATGACTTTAAAAGTGTTATAGCTATTAAAATAAATAATGAGAACATCTTCTACTATTACTCTAATGTGATTTTCTGTTTTGCCAGGCGAAGTGGCAAAAGTTTAATGAGTAATTTAATTGCTTGATGAATCAAATAGGTCTTATTATTTGCTCCAAGGGTTGAAGTGACAGTGGTTCAGATGAAATACAGTCATGCACTGCTTAACAAAAGTTCTGAGAAAAGTTGTTAGGTGACTTTGTTGTGTGAACATCATAGAGCATACTTTACACAAACTTAGATGTTACAGCCTCAGACACACCTAGGCTGTGTGGAATAGCCTGTTATAATCTTACGGTACTTCCATCATGTACGTGATCTGTTGTTGACTGAAATATTGCTATGCAGTTCATGACTGTATTAGAGTTTTAGACAGAATACTTTACCTACAAGAAATAAGACATGCATTAGGCATCATTTCCAGGCCCGTCAAATCCTTTATTATGCTTAACTTCATTCTCTTAATAATTACTGTTCATAAATTGCACAGGTTTTAGAGCTAGGTTTCAGTCAACTAATATTTTATCTCAAGTGGCAGACAATAGGTCTGCCATTAACAAAGTACCACAGATGAGGAGGATTAAAGCAACAGAAATTTACCCCTCACAGTTCTCTGGCTAGAAGTCTAAACCAAGGTGCCAGTAGGGCCATGCTTTCTCCAAAGGCTTTAGTAGAGAATTAGTTCTTATCTTTCCATTTAGTTTCCGTGTTGCTGACAATCCTTGGCTTATAGACATCGCATTCCAATTTGTCTTCATTGTCACATGACCTTCTCTCTCTGTCTCTTCTCAAAAGGACACCAGTAATATTAGATTTAGAGCCCATCCTACTATGATTTCATCTTAACTAATTACATCTGCAACAACCCTATTTTACTCACAGCTACAGGTTAGAGCTTGAACATCTTTTTCTGAGGGACACCATTCAACCCACTGCAACATGCAACTATATTATGTCTGTGAATGCAAAAATAAAGCACTACATGTAGTCATTAATTACCATAGCTTCCTGTGGGACTCGAGTTAGGTGAAAGTAGTATGCAGGGCATTATTATATACACAAACCCTCTTATCTGTAGAAAGCTTATAGTCTCATGGAGAAATTTAGGCTAACTCATTCCATAAGTGTTCATTAGAAAAAATTAATATGTGTAATGTCTTTGTTTGGGCTGTTATAAAAGAATATCTTAGATAAGCATGAAATACAGTTCTGGAGACCAGGAAGTTCAAGATCATGCTTCTAGCACATTCAGTGTTTGGAGAAGACACTTTCACGTGGTGGAAAGGGTCACATATGCTCCCTCAGTCCTCTTTTATAAGGTCACTAATCACATCCTTCTCCCTTGAGACCTAATTACCTTCTAAAGGCCCACATAATCCTATTGGGGATTAGATTTCAGCATATGAATTTTGAAGGGATACACATTTAGACCATAACAAATAATCAAGTACATGGTTTATACAGTGGTCAGGGAGGCCTCTCTGAAGAGATGACATTTTTTTAAAAATAATTTTTTTTTAAATCTAGCTTTATTTATTTAATTTATTTGACCAGAGAGAGAGAGAGAGAAAGTGAGAAAGCAAGCTACCAGGTCCAGGACTTGAACTGTGGTCAGCCATGTGGGAGTCCAGCACCTTTAACCACCATTTGCCAGCCCCAAAGATGTGACATTTAAACTGAGACTTGAAGGGGTAACAATGAGCCAGCCATGGGAAAGATAAGAATGTTCCAGGTGGAGTTAACAGCAAATACTAAGACTCCAAGGTAAGAGAGAACTCAACACTTTCTAGGGACTTACAGAACAGAGAGGGAGATGGTAGAAAATAAGATTAAGGGCTGGTCTTGTAGCCAAATAGTTAAGGGAGCCAGATCCCACATGGTCTACTGTGATTTGCATCCTGGCCCCAGTGGCTTGAAAAATATGCTGGACATCTGTGTGTGTATGCCCCAGATCCTGACAGTTTAAAGAAATGGAAAAGAAGAGAATGTGGTGTGACCACGCCCTATGGAGGAGTGCTTTCTCTTTCTGTCTCAGTGTCTATGGCTGGTGAGTGAAGTGCCCTCAGGCAGTTAAAAAATGAGATAAAAAATGTAGGCAGAACCTAGGTAGGTAGGCAGAGCTGGCAGGTGGCATGGTGGTTAAGGGTGCTGGACTCCCACATAGCCAACCATGGTTCAAGTCCCAAACCTGGTGGCTTGCTTTCTTACTTTCCCTCTCACTCTGTCCCTCTCTGGTCAAGTTTAAATACATAAATAGAATAAAATAATTTTTTAAAATAAAAAAATTTAAATAAATAAAAATAGTAAACCTATTGGCAAGGAGTAGCTTCCAAAATTTTTTGACTGTAATCTAACAGCTAAGAAATACTTTTGACACATATTTCGCTACATAGGTGCATATATGCAGAACTGAGGTAGTGAAAGGAAGATAGTGAATAGTGGGTAGATTTTTGCTACCTTTTTTTTTTTTTGATTTTTGCTACCTTTTGAAGGTAACTTCTCAGCATATTAATAAATGATATGGAGGAATATGAAAGAACCCAGGATGAGGCTTAGCACTTGGACGTGAGCAACTGGGTTAAAGATGGTGCCAATAAGTGAAACCTGGGACAGGAAAAAGATTTTCTTGGAGAGGGAGGGACTATAAATAAACTGTTTAGAGAATGCCATATTAAGTTCGAGACACCTGTATAGTAGCAGGCGTTAGGGGACAGAGTCAATGTGTAGTGGTCCTCAAACAGAGAAGGAACTGTGAGACGGAAAAACAAAGCAAACAATTCCATGGAATACTTGACAGGAGTTTGAGAGTAACTTACAGATGGGAAGGGTCAGCTGAATGGTGGCCCAGAAAGCTTCACAGCTGTGTTCTGCTCTTCCGTGAAGCAAGTTAGAGTTTTCAAAAGAGAAGCTAAAGCGGTGAAAAATGCACCTGGTTTAGAGAGGTGAGTGCTCCCAGCTTCTTGAAATCATTCTTCCTCTAAGAAAGGCCAGCTGCCTCAGTGGGGGCACAGTATGGGTGGGGAAGAACAGAGGGCCCCAAGATGGTGTTAGTTTCTAAAAAGTGGAATTGGTCTGTTTCATTCACACAGTAAGTAAATAAAGTTACTTTTTTCCTACTATACTATTAACACTGAGCACAAAGTCTTTTACTGTTCCCATCAGAATGTGTTGGGAGACTTCCCCAACAATCAGTTCTCCAGTAGACACCAACTGGATGTTCTAAAATTCAGTTTTGACATTGTAACCTGAAGATAGAGTCATATCCCATGGTTAGTCCCACAAGGGGACTTAGTCCCACAAGACTGCCCCTTACTTCAGGTGCCAATGGAAATCCAGGTTGTGATCATGCTTCTGCTCCCCCAGTTGTAAACTGGAGGTTCTCACAACCCCTGCCTAGGGTTCAGTCATTTGCTAGAGCAGCTCACATTACTCATGGTCCACTCGGATTTGCATCTGGCCCTCAGGAACACACTTCACTTACATTCACTGGTGTCTTACAAAAGATACGATGACAGATACGGAGGAAAAGCCTGGGGAAGGGACGCATAGGGCAAGGTATGAGGGAAAAGGGACGCATAGGGCAAGGTATGAGGCAAGGTATGAGGGAAATTGGTGTTTCCATTCCCTGTCTGATGGTCCCACCTTCCATGTGTCCAGAAGCCCAGAAGCTCTCTGAACCCTGTTCTTTTGGGATTTTATGGAGGCTTCATTACCTAGGCATGATTGATTATATCATGGGCTATTGGTGATCAACTTAAGCCTTAGCTCCTCCCCTCTTCCCAAAGGAGTGTTGGGGGATTCCGGACCTCTGATCACATGGTTGGTTTCCCTAGTATACTGAGCCAGTCCTGGAGTCCCCGGCCACCAATCATCTTATTAACATACAAAAAGACAATTATTTGGGAAACTCCAAAGGTTTTAGGAATTCTGTGCCATGAAACTGGACATAGACCAAAAAATACATATTTTGTTAGAAATTACAATATCAGTTACCAAGGTAAAAACTAGAGATTATGAACTAGAAGAAAACAAGCTTCTTTCACGCTGAATAGCTCTGACAGTCAGTCTTGCCATCTGTGTGTGCGCGCACGAG